TCCTAAATGCAGGAAATAACCGAAGTTTTGTGACGGTGGAGAACATCACAAGACTTTGGTGTTGTTAACGAAAATCAGACCATGGGACACTTTGTCTTCCATACCAAGAAAGACATATGAATCCTTTTTGAGGCTAGGACTGTCACACCCCAAGGATCACTATAAATATCACAAAATCCACCACCATAACTGTATGTTAAGGTTGACATGATTATAGAAATTGATCTTACAGGGTGAGGTCCCGAATCTTTTGCACATTTTATGCACTTCACACCACCACAGTCAAGAAGATCAAGAAGTAACGTGGAAGCAATGCATCCGCAATGTAGACGCTGCAGTAAACAAATTTATTGAGTGCAAATGGTTGAATGGAAGAGCCAAAGTAAGGGGAAGAAGTCAAGAAACCAAACACGAAGTTATTTCTTTGTTGGGTATACACTCACCTTGCCGCATACTCCGCACTCCCTCCAACCGGATTCATTTGAGTGGAAAACCTCACAATAAATTGATTGCTCATACGCAGACCTAGTGTCGACGCCAATTTCATATCACAATACCAGTCATAAATCTCTCATGTCATATTGCTATTTCAAATTTATATATAGAACGATAGCAGCTAGTAAGTTAGAAACAAACAACCATAAGTGATCCACGCGAAAACATTTAGAATACGTGTTATCATAGCTTCTAAAGTTCTAAAATACAATAGAATTCTACATTCTCTCCGTCGGAATAGGTGTTACCATAGCTTTACATAATTTAGTGGTACTGAAGAATTAAATGTATCTTAGATTTTAATAATCAACGTTTATAATTACATCAAATCGAATATTACGGGTTAAATTGTATTATTCATACAGTTTGAATAAATACGGATGTAAGAGATACAACAAATAACAAATAAAATGCCAAAATAAACGAGCAAAATCGTGGAAAAATAAAAATAAAAATCCAAACAACAGCTACCATTTATCATGTGGCCGTAAAAAATAAAAATCCAATAAGTACATGAATTTAAAAATAAATAAAAAAAATCCAAATCCAGAAGTGTAAAATTCATAAAGTTGAATAATTTAAGCAAAATCTGATGAACTAATTACCAGCACTTGAGACAGAGATTGGCGAATCCGCCAGATCGCAAAGCCCAACCTCTCTTCCACTCGATCGACGTCGAGGTCCCGCAAGCAGCGTTCATGCAAGTCCGCCGCTCCATTTCCGCACTTAAATTCTGTAAAATTTAAAAAAAAAATCGATCCGCCCAGAAATTAATCCAACAAAATCCCCAAATCTAATCGTCACGATTTCAGAGAAAGCAAAAAACCGAAAATTGACCAATCAAACAGCAAAGCTACGAACAGAGAAGCACAACGGAGAAGAAATCAACCTCAAGCTTGCACCTTTCAGCTGAACAGAATCAGAACTGCTTCATTTGAGCAGATAGGAGTGGAAGGCGGCGGGGGCGAGTCTGCTACCACTCTGGTTTTTCGGCGGCGGGGGGATTGGTGTTGGATCGGCGATTTTGCCGGGAAGGAAACGGCGGAATGGTCGAAGACTTGGAGTTGAAATTGGATTCTGGCGAGCTGAGAGTTGGATCGGCGGTTGTTGGGTAGGGAGAAGGGGAGCGTGTGCATGCAGAGTTGAAAATTGAAAGACAAATGCACAAAATGCATGCACGATGATGATTATGCTTCAAGACTCGGCCAACTCGCCCACCTTCTCTCTTTTTCACTTTCACTGTGTTTGGACGTGGAAAATAAGTTTGGAATTTCGACAAAAGTTGAAATTCATAAATCCACATGCATCAATTTTTTTATTTAGATTTATAAATAGAGAGTCTTAACGAAACACTTTCAACTTCGCTTTTAATAAAAATAATATTTTTACTCTAAAAATTCACTCCTGATATCATTCACTTACAACACATTTTTGTCATTTTGATTAAAACTCAAAGTTTTCAAGTCATTTTCATTAATTTTCTTTTATAAATATGAAAATTTATTCATCCAAGCCACCCACCACCTTCACCACCCGCAACCATAATCACCACCACCACATAATCATCATGTTGGAATTTCTTAATAATCTTAAATTATTCATCCAAACGCAGTGTTACTAACCATTTTTGCTTGAAATTTAAACCAAAAAGAAAAGAGAAAATATTGACTTAAATAGATTTATTGTCCGAGATTGAGATGTCGAAGCAAGAGAAACTTACATGCAACTGGAAAATAGACTTACATGCAGTTGAGATGACATCGTACCTTGACAAAACCATGAATTAAATAGATTTGTTTTGTGAGATAAACTAGCTAAAGAAGCGAGAGAAACTTACCAGTAACTAGTAGATCTATTTTGTGAAACTGGAAAAGCGAGAAAATTTACCTATCGAGCTTCCACCTTGATTGCAACATTTTGAATTAAATACATTAGCTTTGTGAGATACAGCCGAAGAATCAAGAGAAATTTAGGTAGATATGCTCTATCAAACTTAGTTCACCAAGTGAGAAAACCTTACCTATCACATAAATTCCCTCATGAGCTGAAGAAAGTCTTCAAATTTTGAACTATACAGATTCACTTTGTGAGAGTTAATCGATGAAGCGATAAATTTTTATTTACACTGGACAGATCCACTTTCTGAGAAATTGAGTTCTCAAAGCTCTAAGTGACAAAAACTTACATGCCACATGGCTAACAATGTGATTCGAAGAGAACATTAAATTTGATTTATTTTACAAAAGTGAGCTGATGAAGCGAGAGAAATGTGTTGCAGTTGTAATGTAAATTCCGACTAATTAAAATGTTAGATCCCACATCGCTCAGGGGAGTGGATCCTTTATGCCTTAAATGTACATACCCACCTCTATATAACACGAAGCCTTTTGGGAGCTCACTGGCTTCGGGTTTCATAGGAACTTCGAAGTTAAGCGAGATCGCAGCAAGAGCAGTCTCATGATGGGTGACCCACTGGGAAGTTATCGTGTGAGTTCCCAGAAACAAAACAGTGAGGGCGTGGTCGGGGCCCAAAGTGGACAATATCGTGCTACGGCGAAGTCGAGCTTGGGATGTGGTGGATCCCAGGTCAGGATGTGATAATTTGGTATTAGAGCCAACCCTGACCTGAAATGTGTCGACTAGGACATCAAGCCTTTAAAGGGGGTGGATTGTTAAATCTCACATCTCCCAGGGGAGTGAATCCTCTATTCCTTAAATGTACATACTCATCTCCATATAGCATGAGGCCTTTTGGGAGCTCACTGACTTTGAGTTTTGTAGGAACTTCGAAGTTAAGCGAGATCGCAGCGAGAGCAATCCCAAGATGGGTGACCCACTAGGAAGTTCTAGTGTGAGTTCTCAGAAACAAAACCATGAGGGCATGGTTGTGGCCTAAAGCGGACAATATCGTGCTAAGGCAGAGTCAAGCCCGGAATATGGTAGACCCTAGGTCGGGATGTGACAAAAATATTGCCAAAATAAACGAAGACGTAACCAAGTTATTCTTTATGAACTCTACTACTTCACAGTTTAACGTTAATTATGTGCCAACATTATAAAACATGTGTCAAAAACATGAGTTGACAGAAATCCATAGAGTCCAATTTTTAAAATAATCTCCTCAGCATTTCTCTTATCTATTATACAAACGGCAGCAGAAGTAGTACCAGAAAATGCAATAAAAAATTAGTAGTACCAGAAAATGCAATAAAAAACTAACTATGACCACTTTTACTACAATTTAACGGTATTTCTATTCATTTGTTTGATGGCCTAGATTGTGTGTTGCCTCAAGTTTGGATCAGTTTTTTTTTTTTTTTTTTTAACAAACGATCTTTTTTATATTAAAGGGGAGGAAGACGAGCTTAGCCTCACAATGGATTAACAATAATGTAATTCAAATTCGTTTTTAACGATAATCGAATTTAAAACTTCTTATTTACAAATGAAAAATAATACTTTTAGGCCAGTGGCTTTGCGTCCTTTAGTTTTCAGAGTCTCCGCACCATCAAACCCTGTGGAGTTTCGCGATGGAATGATTAAGCGAATAGCCGCCGTTGACTTGATTTTGTATTTATGACGCCATAATAGTAGGTGGTGACGGTATGTGAACCGGATATGTGGGCCCTACCAAAGTGCTGATAGGGAAAGGACAACGCACGCGCTGTGGACCGAGGAGTCACGCCCGTGAACCGAACATGCAGCACGTGTAAGGGATGTCGGTTTTTAGACTAAGAAAAACGAGTGGGACGGTGTTGACTAATTATATTGGCTAATGATTGAAACCATGAATGATTAACATGTTAATCAGGAGACTAATCAACAACAACGACGACAATTAATATGAATTAGTTGAGTGAGGTTATCATTGAATATTTTACAGATGGAGGACGTAACAACTCAAATAAGATATGGTTTTCTCCACCTCAAACGCTGTATATGGGTTGTAATAGGATTGTGGTACATGCATATTACAATTACTAGATGAAACGATCATAACCAACTAAGCTAATAAAATAGACTAACTTGAATTGAGCTGAGCTAGAAAATTCAGTTTAGTCGAGCTAGCCTTGTACGTATTTCTTACGTTGAATGCTAAGAAGGAATGTGTATTAGGAGTTAGGGATGGGTTGAAGAGAAACTTCGATGGGATGTTATATGTCCGATTACAACTGCAAACAAAGTTATAGTCTCGTGGTATTTCTTTTCTTCAATTCTTTTTATAAAAGCGGTAATGGAGAGGGAAGAACAAACTTATGACCTCAAGTGTAAAGGTATATGCTGTAAAATATCTGAGCTACAAGTCTTTTCCGTCTTCCTCACAATATAAGACCATCTGAGTTCGAATCTGTCTCTTAATTATTTGAAATCACTCATGCCAAAATCCAAAAATATTTGAGGCCCAATGGGCCTTTTATGGACCACCGAAAGTGAGAGAAGTGGAGGAATCCAGGCCCAAGCCCAACGCAAGGCTCGAAGCAAATGACTCCGATACCGTAGGCCTTATCTAAATTTCCGGCGCAATTTACAGAGAAAATCACACACCTTTGCTTCTCAAACAATCCACAGCCATGGCGGGAATGGCTACCTCCTTCAACGTCTCCTCCGCCTCCTCCATCCTCAGCCGTCCGTCGCAGCTTTCGTCGCTTTCGTTCTCGTCCAAGCCGTTCTTTCTTGCCATGCGGAGTTCTTCCCGAACCCCCCTGCGTCTCGGATTTCCCAGTAAACTCCTTTTACTCTCTTAATCTTCGATTTTACTTTTTGCTGAGTTAAATTCATGTAATTTTGGTTCTGGGTCAGTGAAATGATGCTTGAATTGTGAAAATTTCAGGGATAATGGCTTTTTCCAGCAACGATATAAAAGTGGGTTCCAACATTGAAGTTGATGGGGCTCCTTGGCGAGTTATAGGTAATTATATTATCTTCCTCTTCTAATACTTTTTTTTTTTTTGAATTTTTTTAGTTAAAGACTTAAAGTCGAAAAATTTGGACTTTGTTCTTATTGGGTATGTTAACATATTGAGTTTTAAGGCTGTAATTCAATTTTATTATGTTTCTTTTTGTTTGATAATTACCAATTTTAGTACTAATCTCATGGCATTTGTGTTTGTCTTTTGGGTAAATTTTACGATAGACATACTTTAGGGAGCTTGTATCTTTTAGTTGGTTTATGAGGATCACAATGTACATGTTGGTTTCTCATGGTTTTATGATGGGTATGCGAAATAGGAAAAAATCGAAAGCGTTTTGAATACCATGATGCTAAGCTGATATGAAAACCTTTTTCTTTCTCTGCGTCATGCTTTCGAATCATGTCTTTTGCTTCGGGTAGGGGGATATTGGTACGTCAAGTGTTGCTTGTGAAGTTCCGGTTGAATATAGGTGTACTCAATTGCCATTTGCCTCTATAACTGCGGTGTCTGTTTTTGTCTGTCTAATATTCCTAATGAGGAGGTTTTTCTTATCTTCAGGGAAACAACTATTTCCATGATTCATTTTTCAGTTGAAGCTTACTGGTTTGCTGCCTGTTGCCTTATGTAGAGTTTCTTCACGTGAAACCTGGGAAAGGGGCCGCATTTGTAAGGACCAAAATGCGCAATTATGTATCAGGAAACACTGTTGAGAAAACATTTCGAGCTGGCAGCACGGTAATGTTTATTGATCAATCATTATTTCTGTGTTCAAATGTATTTGAAGTTTAATATAGTATTTTTTTGCTAACACGTATAATAAAGTCAGCTTAATATGTAGCGTTTGACATGGTCTATTTTTGTATTTTTTGCAAGCAATTTAATCTCAGAACCAAGTTTGTATATTCATCTTAACTGATCGCGTGGCATACTTAAGTTTAGTTGTCTTCAAACATATGACATTGTTCAACTTTCAGGTTATATTTGATATCATTTTGTTGTTAAAGAAAGAAAGTTTTCATTTCAAGCATGGAGCGCGTAAAAGTGAGTATGGTAGATGTCTATACAATGACATATATACATTCCCATGTTTGATTGTTTTTGCAGATTAATGAGGCAAATATATACAAGGAAACAAAGCAATTCGTATACAAAGACGGTCCCCAGTTTGTCTTCATGGACCTGGTATTCTTTGTCAGAGTTTCTAATTTACAAAATTAAAGAGCCGTTATTGGCACTCCAAAACAGTCGTCATGCACTCTAACCAAATGATAGAAAAAGGGAAGGAAGAGTGCATGATGACTATTGTGGAGTCCTTACAAATCGAGTATTTGGGACAAAACAATGCTCCTCACTTTAGTGTTTAAGACGCATAGCATCTATTCCTGTTATCAAGGAAGCTAGCTGATTCTATTATCTTTACACAATATTCATAAATATCTTTATTTTTCTATCTTAAACATTTTTTTTCGTTCACTTGTCTCAGACTACCTATGAAGAAACTCGTGTAAATGAATCAAGTATTGGGGACAAAACAAAGTGGCTGAAAGAGGGCATGGACTGCAATTTGCTTCTTTGGAATGATAAAGTACTTTCCTTATTCTCTTTTAGCAATCCATTGCCTTTCAAGCTATTAAATTTCCAGTTTTTTCCACAAAGTTCATTATGCACTAGATAGATTGTGCCAAGACAGTTATTTTTTTCCGAGATGCAGCTCTTGGGCACTACCTAATGAACTTTGAGCAGCAGTCTCAAGCAATGTATTTAAATTCATTTATGTATAGTTTGTGATTATACAACTTATATTCATGCTGAGCCGAATCGTTATTGTTTGTATCATAATTGTGGTCTTTGAAAAGCAGTCTGCACTTTTTTTGTGTGCTTGCAGCTTATCGACGTTGATATCCCCATCACAGTGCAGCTGAAGGTGGTTGATGTTGATCCCGGACTTAAAGGTGACACAGCTCAAGGTAATGCAATTTATTTCCTCTTGCAAATTCCAAAGGACCAAATTTAGCATGCAATTGGTGTAAATACCCATCAGTTCATGTCTTGTTTAGGGACATGAAGGCTGGTAAAATGTCACCGGACAAAAATGCGGTTACAGGGTTAGGCCGAGTAGATTATTTGCCTAATTGATTTATCGGGTTTTAGAAATACTTAGAACTCGCTATTGCACCTTCTCTCAGACTAAAAGTTTGGAGAAGGGAATATCTCCTTTTTATGGAATATCCATATTGTGTTTGCAGTTTTTCATTACCAGCAATCAAAGAAGGGGCCACTCATTTACGTTTTTGAAGGTCCATTTCCGTTTTCCGCTTCATAAATTCACATATCTTCTACATTAACTCTGCGCAGGAGGTGGAACAAAGCCTGCAACTCTTGAGACCGATGCTGTTGTCTTTGTCCCGCTGTTCGTTAATGTAGGTGATGAAATACTGGTGGATACCAGAACCGGGCAATACATGACCCGAGCTGAGAAAAATTAGTAAATTTATGCCTCAGAGATTTGACAGCGTTGGCCGGAAAATTTTTGTATTGTATTTTTGTTTACTATGCAGAGACTTTACTGCATTTTATGATAGAGCCTAGAAATGTTATGTCCGTACATCAAGTTAGTGGCATGTTTTGTAAACCCTTAAAACTCCTGCTGTAATTGATTGGCTTATTTGAAGAAAGAAATGAGCAAGAGAAAATTTTTCTCATTGTTTAGGTATTTTATTAGGAATTACACCTCTCTTCAACGCAGCGCTGTAAACGCTACAAGCGCCGAGGAAAGTCCCTCGTCGATTTAACTCATGAATTACAGGGTTGTGCGATACTCTACTGGTTGCTCTACCACCTTCATACATGATGCTCAAAACTAACAATGCGTCGAATACCTTTCCCTCAACACACAGGCCTTGAATCACATTGTTAAGGGTGACAATCCACGGCGAATACCCTGTTCGAACCATCCCCTGCAAACTGACCAGAGCTTCATCCACCTTCTTTCCCATACAAAGACTCTGGATCATGAGGCCATAGGTACTCGCATCGATACCCGAATGCCCGCTCCTCATTCTCTTAAACAATTGGTGTGCATCTTCCAGGATGTTTTTTCCTTCCATGATCTCCTACACAACCCTCTAACGAGATTGTTCATCAATCTCTCCTCCACTTCAAAACCATTTTCCACCATCTCCTCATAAACCCTAATCGCATTCCGAATTTTCCGCCATTTCAACAATCCATGCAGCAAACTGCTGTATCTGGAATGCAGTTCATCTCCTTCATCTTCTTCGACACATTGAGCCCCTCCATTGGCCTCCCTTCCTTGCAGTACCCATGAAACAGAGCATTGAAGCTCACCACATCCGGAATCAATCCGATCTCCATCGCCTCGTCGAGCAATTCCATCACCTCATCCGATCGACCCACTTTGCAAAATCCATCCATAACAGCACTGAAAGTGTAAATATCAGGTTTTACTTCATTTTTTTTTTTTATCCTCATCAGTATATCATATGCAACCTCAACTCTTCCCACATAGCATAACCCCTTCAGCAAGCAATTGTAAATCTGAATTGTTGGCTTCAATCCAACCCTACCCACCACCTCCAAAACCTCCATAGCCCTCGCAATTTACCCCTCTTGCACAACGAATTCACCAGGACAGTAAAAGTTGCAGGATCTGGGTAGAACCCATTTTCCACCATGTGGATTAAACCCCCTCTAGCCCCATCCAGATCGTATTCACCGCAGTAACACCTTAACAGGAAGGAAAACGTCACAGAATCTGGCACCAACCAATGAGCTGATGAAATTTCAACAAACAAGCTCAATGCAATGTCAGGTTCTTCTGCTATGACTAAAGCCATCAGCAGAGAGTTGAATTCAGATACGGTTTGAAAACAACCATCTTTTCTAAAACACCAAGAATTTCACTCCTTTTTTTTTAAGGGCAGAGCTTTGATTCCGTCAATGAAATTCTGCACCTGCAATCTGCTGGCTGTGTCGTCAAACCCCAGATTTGGGTTTTCGAATTCGGACTGTAAGATGTAATCTTTTGAGGGTTTCTGGTGGGTTGTAGTGGGATTTGTAGCTGAGGATGAAGGTGCTGCGAGGAAAAGCAGCTTACCGCTGTATTGGGTTCTGGAGAATGGAGATGGAGGTGGAGGTGGAGGTGGAGGTGGAGGTGGAGAGGGAGAGTGGAAAACTGTGCAGGGGTTGGGAATGAAGAAGGCATCATAGAGAGGTCCATGGATAATTCTCTGGAGTTCTTTCTGAGCTAACATTGGAACAACGTAAAAAATATCTAATTTTGGGGAAAATTGCTAATTTTGATTAGAATTGGGAAAAAACGATATCAAATACCATGTCATTTGTGGAGAAAATTGTCCCCATTTGGATAACCATGTCATTCATACGCTCACACTGAATGAAGTACACTTCGAGAGTTGGTGAAAGTGACTCTTTCGTTATAATTTCTTCGAACAGTGTAGTTGTGTGAGTGGATATACGAATGACGTGGTTCTCTAGGTGGACATAAGAATTTTATCGTTTATTAATGCAGAACATGGTACGAAAGAAACTAATCTATATCGAGAAAGTTACTTTCTTACATTAGTATTCAAATTACTTACAAATTGTCATATGTTTTGGTTTTTTCTTTAGAGTTTGTGAATTACTTAAGAATCGAGATTATGCTATAGTCACATTCCGTTGTGATTAGCGTTTGAATCCCCACCAATCACTAGAAGTTTGCAACATTTCATGTATGTATATCATGTAAAAATGTGCATAGAACTGACACTTACAAGAGGAATTAAAAACATGGAATGAAACCCCAAAAGTTAATACAAATGTTGGAAGTTCAGACAATATATAGAGTTACTAATTCTCAAATGTTGCAACTTTCAAAGGCGTACAGATCTACTAAATGTCTTCCAAAACCTGGGGTCTTTGGCCTCTGGGATTGGGAAGTCCTTCTTTTTGCCACTCATTCTTCTCAGAATGGGTTTGATCATCTTCTTCAGAACCTTGTTAAACCCCGAGCCACGTCTCTTCTTCGCAACCAAATGTGGCGGTGATGGTGGTGGTGGTGGTGGTGGTCGCGACGGTTCTGGTGGACCTTGAGTGAGTAAAAGAGGAAACTCAGACCGAATGTACATCGGCTCGGAGAGACTCCGACGCAGCATTGCCTGGTTGAGTTGTAAGTCTACGGAGAGCCTCTCGAATTGGTCGAGCAGAGAGCTCTTGTCGTCCCCAAACTTCCACATTTGCACTTGATTTTTTGCTTCAACTACTTCCTTTATTGCCTTCTTTGCCTCCTCCATTTTTGCACATTGATTGGGGCAGTGGCAGTGAGAGTGTACTAAATAGTATGGTTTACTTTCTTTTTTTTATGTGTAAAAAATTAAAGTTTTTTTTTATAACTAAAATGGTCTATAAAATTGTCATAATTCGTCACTTTGATATTTGAGATTTAAAATCAGTATAAGTTGTCCTTGCTATTGTCCATCGTCAATCATTTTGATCATTATGTGAAAAATTTTCGATAAATTAAGGGTATTTTTGTTAAATCAACTAATAGTTGTCCCTCCACTTGAACTAATAGTTCATTCAGTTTAACAGAGATTTTTTCACAAAATGATCTAAATTATTGACCGTGAACAATCTCATTGATCACTTCTATTGAGTTTAAAGCTCAAAGACTAAAGTAAAGAATTATGATAATCCCATATATCATTTTAAATAAAAAGCCAAAAAATAAGGACTCGGATTCATTTGAAGTGTGCAACGAAGCAAGGAATATCACCAACATGGAATCTGAAAAGGTTCAAATTTTATGCAGTTGGGTGCGGCTGTCCAAATATAAGTGCTCCAAACAAAAGAAAGGTAAAGTTTCCAAAAAAAACAAAAAAACAAAAAAAACAAAAACAAAAGAGAGGTAAATGTAGAGAACATTAATATGGGAAAGGATCCTCTCATGATCCCCTTCTACCAAATCTACCTAGTTTGGTATTCGGGTTGTTGAAATTTAATCCAATGACTACAAATAGCAAATTTCTTTAAAAGTTATAATAACTATAATCGTTGGATCAAAACCCAACAGCCCAGATCACGAACTAGATGAATTTGGTTGAAATGAATCCCAAGTGGATCCATTTCCATTAATATGTACCACATTAATCTAGGGAACTTGTACGGTAAGTATTGCACTAGACAAAAGTTCTACAGTGCACCAGTGCATTATACTACTGAATTTTGAGGAGAAGGATTTTCTCCCTCTTTTTTTTTCCTTCTCTTCCCTCCCCTCCTATTTAAACAGTCATGGTTAAGTCACGTCAATATCTTATATTAATTTTTTTATAAAAAGAGAAAAACAAAATAGAAAGTGTGAGAAGATAAGATAGAACGAAATAAAAAGAGGAAGAGAGAGAATCCTAGTCCGGAGTCATAATCTAGCGGTTGAAACACGAATTCGTCCTATACACTTGTCTATTGCAGAAAAATCATGTACCATGATCAATTACAATTTAAGATGTGTTTTTACTCCATGCTTATCAAAGCTAAACTCTTTTCACTGTTGAAGGCTTATGCAGCACAAAAGTAATCAAGATTCATTTACAATTGCTTTTTCTGGTTTTTGGTTTTTTTCTTTATGTCTTTTCTGTTTTATTAATCTTTCTAGTCAAGATAGATACTTATATACACACTTCTTTTCTTCTTTGAACACTCCTACTTATTTATGTCTCTTAATATATTATTTATTTATTTAGTTCGAAGGGTAAAATAAACAAGAATGCATACAAAATTAGTGTGCAACAATCACTTCTTATTTCAATATGGTCCGACGATGAAGCAGATGTTCGTACTTTAATAAAGAGCAAATGTCGATAGTTTTCGGTAATGTGCTTATGATCACCAAAAAAATGTACAAACATGCTATTCTTGCATTTCAAAAATATTGATGTGCGTTCTTTCTTTGTAAACAAAGGAAAAATTAGTATCCAGTCCCTAGTTACTAATGTTCATTGACTGAGATCTTATTAGTTTTTAGATTTTAATCAAATTCCCTAACATTAATGTATTAATTAATTTATATGTCAATTATATAAATTTTTAAAATAAAAATTAGTAATTGATTTAGGATTTTAATACTCACACCCTTATTAAACTCCTAATTAATTTTCAATTCAAAACACTTACAAAATAAAAAATATATAAAAAAGGATAAGTTTGTACCCATTAATTTTTTATAAAATGATTTTCAAATTTTTAATCTTAGATGTACCCATTCTTAAATACACCAATTTCTTATATGTAAAATGTACTATTTTTAATATAAAATGTACCCATTTTTATATAAAATCCATTCATTTTTTTCTTTCTAATCCTTTTATTGAACTTATATGGATACTTTCTATTTTATTGATTAAAGAATATATCCATGTCAAGTTTAATGGAAGAAATTTAATAATGTTATTAATCCTAACAATTTTTTTTTTTTTGTGTTTCTGAAAAATGTACTCATGTTTTGGTACAATAATTTTTTGGTTAGTTTTGATGAATGTACCCATGTTTATACATATATACACACACACACACATTATATTAGAGAGTATAATTTATTCTTTAATATTTTTAATCCCATACATTATGAATTTTAATTTAAAATCTCATTAATATAAAACAACCACAAATTTCTGTTTTTAATTTA